TTCTTACATTTCGCCCCCAATCACTATCTAGAACCAGATTTTTCGCTCCAATCATCATTTTGCTTTAACGTGTTTTCTCTAAAACATTACAACATTACAAGTTTTTAAAGTCTAATTTAGCGGATTTGTGTCGTGTGACAAATGAAAAGTAACTTTGAGCAGTTCGAACCAGAAGCCCTGTTGGAAAATTTAAAAATATAAATATTCTATTAAAATGTTGCAGCTATATTTTTCAATTGTAAAGTAGGCCTAGCTTTTTGTTAAAAATAAAAATATGAATGCTGAAGTAGTTTGCGTTGAGAAGAATTTACACAGAAAAAAATTAAACAATTTTATCCTTTAAAAAACTACATTTTTATTCTATCTAATTTGATATAAGTTATGAAGTGAGAGGTTGGAAAATATTCAAAATTTATATTAAAAACATTTGGACTTCACAAGCACTTTCTGACTTTACTTATTCAGCCTTTGAACGATGTGACAAATATGTTTTTAATGTTTCATTTTTAAACTGTAATATTAAATTTTCTGAGGGAAAAAATCCCAAAAACAAAGAAATTAATCCGCAAATAGTCTATTTGTTTTGATATTTTTTATTCTAAACAATCTGAATTATTATTATTATTATTATTATTATTATTATTATTATTATTATTATTATTATTATTATTATTATTATTATTATTATAGGTGGTTATTCTGACATCTTGTTACAAACTTTACGCACAACGAAGCTGTAATAAAACCATGTGATTCCGGAGCTGAAATCTAAACTTTAATGTAACTTATTAACTGTTTCAGCTCGTTTAGTTTCACCTGCTCAGACTAATAAAGCCGTTCAGGCGGATCCTCCAGCTCTACCTTGGAATCTGTGTCCAAAGAAGCGGTTCCGCAGGACCCAGGGGTAGAAGTTGAGCGGGTCCCGGTGCTGCGCGCCGAAGAAGTGCGGGTGTTGGAGGTGGGAGCCGCCGAGCTGGTGCGGGGCCACGGTGAGGGACGGGTGGCTCACCGCCTCCGGGAACACCAGCTCGGGGCTCTGGTAGAGGGAGCGGGCCGGCGGAGCCTGGTAGCCGTTCATTAAGGCGTCCGTGYTCGGGTTGGAGTAGGTCAGAGCCGTGGGGCGGAGGGGCTCCTCGGCGGTCAGGGGGCTCTCTTTGGCCACCAGAGACTCGATGGTGAAGCAGCGCTTCCCCGCGGAGGAGAACATCATCCCTGCGTGGAAACTGGAAACCCCGCGGAAAGCTTGGAAAGGCTTTCTTTACTTCCTGGTGTGGAGCTAAAATAAAGAAAGCAACGCGCTCAGAGGCGCGTGATGGACGAAGGGGGCTGGTGGGAGGAGAGGGGAGGGG